CTGATCTTTTAATATCAAAGTTGACGAAGAAATAANAGAAATAAATTTCATGAGGATACTTTACTCTTGTTTTCGTGTTACGTAATCGTAACTTTACAATAATCGTTTTTTTTTTTTTTTTTTTTTTTTTTTAAATAATTTTGCGCAAAAATTTGAGACACAAATAGAATAATTAGCTACAAATTCGCATTTATTTAAAAGAAATATCTGCTTTTTAATTGATTTTTGTTCTTTTAATTTATGTTTAATGTGTATTGTGTTTTCGTGTAGCGCTGTATTAAGTTCAGACTTAAGTCAGTAGATAGTATATATTATTAGCGTGTACTATGTGTCTATTAAAGTAGTACATGTATATTTTTCTCACTATTTTATTTTGTCGAATATTGAGAAGTTAGTGAATATTTAACATTATATTAAATTTATTTAATAAATTTGTTTAATATCTAATATAAAATTTATAGTAAACAAATTAAATTTATTAAAAAGTAAACTAAATTTATATAAAACTTCTATTAAAATAAAATTTATTTAATGTATAAAGATGATATTATGTGTTTACAACATATATAACAATTCATGGTTTTGGAAGAAGAATTACTTAACTTTTTGGCAATGACAAAGAAAATGAAAGAATTTTTTTCAAGTGCATTTTAAGTTTGTTTTGTTGTTTATTACATAAATGCTTTTTGAACTTCAAATTATTTTCAAATCTTGTTAAGAGAGATATTGTGACGTAAAAAAGTCAATTAATTAGTTTTTCCGATATTTTGCAGCAACAAGAAACGTAAATCATGAAAACACTCTAATACATCAAGCCTTTTTTACTCAAATACATCAAGGTTTGTCTTTTTTTTTTAATAATTACATTTAATAATACACAACAACTGTTTTTATGGACTCCTACTGACCACTTATTTTAACTTTTTATTGATTAATAATTAATGTTTCTCACTATAAAAGAGATACAATTAAACATCGCGTAGATATTACATACAATAAGCAACATTTTTTAGGGAAGTAAAGAATCATGACGCATGATAAAAAAGAAAGTTAAGTAAGGAAAGAAAAGAAGAATTGCAAATGAATGATTAATGTTACAGCGTTAAGAAAAAATATTTTATTTCTACTATACATGTAATATAAACAACTATACAATATTTTACCAAACCAGAACAGGTATGTGTGTGTGTGTGTTTGTGCGCGCGTGCGTGCGCGCGCGTGTGTGTGTGTGTGTATATATATATGTATCTCACGATACACCCGTAACAAATTTTACAAAGGCGTTCTTATCGGCAATTGGTCGCTTAATTTATATTTGATCAGTATTATTCTTAATATTAATTACTTATTTGTTTCATATCGAATAATCTTACGTATATGGATACACATACCGTGTCGCAAAATTTAGTTTTTATCGCGTCGTCAAATAACATAATTACTGTTTGCATTAATGGAGTGATATAAAAAAAAAAAAAAATACACTTCTTTGCAGACAAGCGACACGACATGTTTCGCACGACAAATCTTTAACTGTGACGTAACACCTCCGCACGTATATAAAAGTACATCCGATTATATTCAGTAGCAAGTGTAAGCGCGTACTCGCGCGAAGAAGGAAAACCGGATAATCGTTAAATTGACGTTTTGAGAAAAACATTTTCTCAACAATTTTCCAGGTTTATGAAGGTTTATTCTAACAGTTTAATTATATATGCGCGTAAAGATGTGAGACTGTTCTTGGAAGCAAGGAAACTCGATATTTGCCATATCGATATCTAATTATTGGATGTAAAAATACATAGCAGAAAAATTGCGTGTATAGCAAAAATATATAGATTTACCAAAATTTTTACGAAATTTTACGTTACGTAAGTCGCAACAAGAAACGCGTTAACGACGTTTTATAAAATAATCGGACAAGATAAACTCGCGCGTTTGTCAAAATCACCTCGGATCATTGTGAGGCAAATCTTTTAAAATACAAGTAATTAGTAAACTCGATATTGCCACATCGATATATTGCCATATCTAACCATTAGATATAAAAATATATAGCAGAAAAATTGCGATCACATTAGGTCCGATAAATTTTTACAAAAGTGAAAAAACGATTGTGTATTTTGATACGTGTGTGTGTGTGTGTGTGTGTGTGTGTGTGAGTGTGTGTGTGTATGTGTGTGTGTGTAGTTTGCGACGGGAAACGCGTCAACGATATTTGGTTCTTTACAAAAGTAATCTGGCAAGATAAACTCGTGCGTTTGTCAAAATCACCTTGGGCCGCGTCATTGCACATGCGAAGCTATTTTTTCATAAATACATAAGCATCGCATTTGTTCACTCTAGCCACTTTAGTTTTTTTTGTTTTTTTTTTTTTGCATCATTGTAAGCTCACAGCCATCGGTGGATAGAATAGAGCGATGAAACAGAAAAGACCTCGTGCGCGTCCATGAGAGACGAGCAGAATCGACATTCGGGACAAAATCAATTTAACAGTTTCGACGAGTTTTGTCGAGTCGCGCATTTTGCGTCTCTGTGCGCTCCGACTCGATGACATAATTGACTTTTCAATCATCGATTCGCCCGCTTGATCGCATTTGTTATCGTTACGTAATATCATGCGTAGTGCCATATAATAATAATAATAATAATAACAAAAGAAGATACACGTAGAATGTTATATGGAATAGTACCCTGAACAAATATTACACAATTGTAACTCTATTAGTTGTGTTGTGTCTTGTACTAAATTAAGAAACATTATAAATAACTTAGCCATTTTTTAACATTTAAAATATACGAGATTACCGATTACATCGAAATGTTGCATTGTGTCTTACACACAGTTCTTAGGTGGTAGAAACAAAAATTTGAAAAAACACTCGCTTGCTTAACATTTAACGCGCGCGCGCGTTTGTCTTTGTCTTTCGTCGCCGAGGTCCCGCACGTTCATGTACAACCGCGGATACGTAACGGAGAAGGATCTACCGGACGTTCTTGATCTTCCAACGGAGAAACAGGTACGAGGCGACTCGCAGCACGACGAATATGAGAAGAAGAGCGAGAATGTCCAGAGTGAAGTCAGCGTCGAGCATGTCCAATTCCTCCAGCGTCGTTTCCGGATTCTTAAAATGGCAGTAAACCTGCGAACACACATCGCGCGCGAGAGTCAGCGTTTCCGCCTAATCTGTTGACGACGTGATTAATTTCTAACACACACACACACACACACACCGCTCCCGATTTTCATTACCTGGAAACACTTGAGTTTCTGCCGACCGTAGCTGTAGACTGTCAAGGCGGTTCCCTCGAACCCGTATCTGATGTAACTCAGATACGTGATCCATCTCAGGTAGACGGGAATCGCGTCGAAGCTAACGAAGAAGCCCGAGAAAAGTAGGAACGGCACCGACATCACCGGAGCCAGGAACACGCCGTTCTGCACGTTCATCGCGGCGCCGACCACGAGGCCTACCGATTGCGCGACGTACGATATCAGCAGACACGTGCTGAGGAACATGGAGTATCGCATCAATTCCGCCGGCTGGCTCGTCACAAAGTACACGATCGTGACGTACATTGTGCAAAATATAGTCTGAAAATTGAGAGATGCAAAGATATTGTTTATTTATTTTGTCGCACACACTTTTGTTATTTGATATTCAGTTCTCAGTTACTCATTGTAGTCGCAGATAACTTGCGATGACAAAAAGCGTAGAAATTTTCGTCGCGCATTTTATATTTTAAAATTAAACAAGAATTTTTTTATTTTACAGCGACATAAGTACGTATGTTGCACGCTTTTTCGCGGCTGCAAAGAGCAGCCCGGAATCTTGGTTAGAGAATGTGACGATCCTTACCTGAAACGGTATGTCCGAGATTGTCATTGCTAGGTAATACGATTTGAGAGAGTACCATCTGTTAAAGTGCTCCTTCAAAAGCACGGGCATCTCCAACGGGACTGTAAGAAACAAGAGTGCGAACGGAGATTCAGTGGCAATTTGTTCACGAAAAAAATTAGATTTCTCTCAATAACAGCAAAAAAGTCTACAAATGAGCGTGACAAGACTTACAAGACAGAATGGTGATGGTCATGGAAGTGTACATGAGGAACAGCATGTTGAAGAACAAGAATCCCAGATTGCTGAGTACTTTGGCGCCGTCATTTCCGATGTTGTAATACAGCGCGCTGATCAGCATAGCCACCAGAAGATGGGCGAACAACCGGAGATACATTAGAGTCTGCAGAAAAACATTTCTCATGAATCAGATATTTCGAGATAAAAGAAATATTGAAAAACGTGATTGGAGAGACAAAGAAACACGATAAACGTAACGAGGTGATGTAATCTCGGCAACGTAACAATAAATTCAAATAATATTTGGATTTATTGTAAATTCGGCAATTTTCAACCAATTGAGAAATATCGTATCAATTGGAACGTCGTGCGAATAAATATTACTGAAATTTTTCGAAATTAATTCTTCTTCAGTTGAATGTATTCACGTTCTAGAATGATAGTCAACTGAAGAGGACTGAAATCCGAAACGTTTTGGAAGATTAGAGTCTGTTTGTCTTGCACTTGCGAATTTACCGATGAATATTACGAAGAATTTATTTATTTCACGATAAAATCCTGAGAGTAGCGTGTTGCAATTTTTTTTATACACATAAGCTCTTTCAAGTAACCTACCCAATCTCTGCGACTGAATAGCAAAGCACGCTTGAGTATAATGAAGAACTGCTTAAATTCCGACACAGGATATCTCTCTGGTGTCACAGCGATGGAATCCTCGAGCAAGGCCATATCCGCATTATCTTTTTTGTCCAAAGTGTCTATGGGTATCGCGATGTCCATCGCTAAAATATCATATTCACGTGTGTGTGTTTTATTTGCGCTGTATTATATATTATATTCGTGATATTTTATATAACTACAATATTATTGTTTATATACTATTTTATATTTAATATTTTTATATGATATACTATAATATTATATTTATTATAGTATTTCGTAAAATTTATATTTATATCATAATATCATAGTCATACTAATTTGATGTCAAGTTCGACAAACAAAATAATCATTGAGACATAGAGTTAATTTGAACATAGGTTCGAAGATTCAGTGGGGAATTATACGACACAGTTCTCGTAACTGTGTCACGTGCAATCGCGGAGAATTATGCTGGTCGACGTTTGTTCCTCGAACATGACTCGCAAATACACATAAATGTCACGTTGCGGTCGACACGTTGTAAAAAGAGAGAGAAAGAAACATATGTGTTGCACCTTCTTTAGTGATATCATTCGCAGTGTAGCTGGTGATGAGTTTTCCATTGGCAATTTCCGTCAGCTTTTCTTCCGAGAATTTCTCCTCCAGATTACTCACGTCGTTTTTGTCCTTCATTTTGATCTTGTCGATCGTGTCGCCGTTTTTCAAAATTTCCGCCGAGGCGGAGCAATTGTTCAGACCCTCCTTCGTGTCGGAAAGCATGTGACCCTCGCGTATGTCGTACTTGCCGTTCTTGATCGCGTTCACCAACTTCTTGATGTTGTTGCCATACTCGCCGCAAGATACCTCGATTACTGAGAAACAGAACAAAGTGCACCGTAAGTCGAAATGTATTTGAAGAGAGAAAATATAATTTATATATACAATATTTCCTTTACATAATGTATATAAAAAAATATATAGTGTGGTAAAAAACACATATAACAGTAAAAAATAAACAATAAAATATTTGCATAGATGAAAGACTCGCTTTCGACTTACTAAACGACGCGGGATTGTGATAGCTTGGGCAATTAAGATTAATTGTGCTTAGGAAAGGCACCAATTGAGACGTGGAGCCCTGATAAATGCATTGGCCCTCTGCTAGCGTGTAAAGAGCGTCGAACATCTCGAACAATCGCGCGCTCGGCTGATGAATCGTGCAGACGATCGTTCGGCCGCCTCGCGCTAAGGTCTTCAGCAACGAAATGCATTGGAAACAGGACGAGGAGTCGAGGCCGCTATAATAAAAACAATTCAGATAAAATCGGTTGCCTCTCTCATTTGAAAAAAAAAAAAAAAAAACAAACAATTTACGAGAAGAAAAATTCGAAAATATATGTGTATTTTTATAACTCGCTTTTCTGTCGCAGAATAGATTGTACAAATAAAAAACAAATCTTGTTTGAGTTATCCTTCGCAACGGGATTTCTTTTTTTTTTTTTTTTTAATTAATACTATCACGAGAATCTTTGGGATACATCCAGAGGCGGACTTAGGCACGGTCTTTATGGGCTGCAGCCCGGGGTCCCGTTCAATCAAAGGGCCTCTTCGTGGTCAAAACTAAACAGCAAAATCAACCGTTTTTTTTGCACTAAAAATAATTCCAAGTATTGGCACAGGTAAACAGTGTTAGCCTAAGGCCCTCAAAGTTAACGGTCTGCCTCTGGATACATCCGAGATAGTATTAGCATACAAATGAAGCGCTTTTTTTAAAAAACTTGATTTAAGTGCGGATCTTGAAAAGAATCCGATCGTGCAACTCAGCTTTCGTAAACAAGTCACGATTTGATGACGAAAATAAAAATACAAATCCCGAAAAGATTTCTTCGTGACGAAATGTAATCTCTTTTGTAAGTTTTGAACAGTAAAAGTGTCAAAATTGCTCGTTGTGTCAGAACAGGTACATTTGAATACAGTACAGACGAGATCGTTATATCCATTAACGAAATTGTCGTCGCGTTCGAGCAAATGAAAGTGTTATACGAAAGTTTGAACGCGTCAGTGAAAGTTATTAGTAAAATAAAAAAAGAATCAAAATCTTCAATCATTGACCTCTGTTGCGAAGTTTTTTATTAGAATCGAAAGAAATACGCCTAGTCGTGTAGCTAACTATGCTTTAAGATTTGAAATTTATGCATCAAATGCAGCGCAAAAAGTAGCGGACGTAAAAGCTGAACAAGTTCGATTTAATTAGCAGCTGAATTTTTTAAGATGCCGAATTTGCGCGTGTCATCTACAAAAAAGAAATTATTTCATCAGAGAGAAAATATAAATATGGGAACGCAAAAAAAAAGAGTAGAGACATTTGAAAGTTGCAGGGAGAAACTTTTAGGTGGGAGACGCGCTCGTTCCGCAAAATTCACATGTGTTTCGCAATCTCGGTAACGAAACAACATTCCCACTGACATTGGCCGTGCCAATGAGACTGAAAGATCAAGGAAATTGCCTGCGGAGACTAGTGTTTGATTTCTCTCGCGGGTCTTGTTTAAAGAGAAAGTCGAATGGATAGTCGCTTAATTTTCTCTCGACATTTTTTCCTCACGAACTGAAAGCTCTGGCTTTTTAGTATTTTTTTTTTTTTTCTCAGTCACCGAAACAGCTACTTCGTCGAAGTCTTCTTACCTGGTAGGCTCGTCGAAGAACATTACGGGCGGGTTGTTGACCAATTCCAAGGCGATTGAAAGCCTTTTCTTCTGACCTCCGCTCAAATTCGACGTCATGGTGTTACGGTGTTCGGACAAACCGAGAATTTCGAGGATTTCCTCAATCTGTCAAAGAGGAAAAACATCTTAAAAATGACTCGATTTTACACAACGAGTGTGCGAAAATTGATTTTGGCAGAGGATAAAAAAAGAAATATTCAAACACAATTTTGCATATATTAGGAAACCCATAAACCAGAAATGTGATACTACAAATAAAAAGGACGTATAAGATAAAAAAAAACCGGCACGAAGAGAACTTTACAAACATTTATCGTTCAATGTGCTCTTTTTAAGATCGAAATATTCGCGCGATGTGTGCCGTTACCTTTCTAAGACTCGTAAAATAAATGTCGTTAAATCAAAGAAAGTCCGCGCTCACCACTTCTTCCTTCTCTGTTTTGTCAATGTGCGAGCCGAGCTTGAGATTCGTCGCGACCTTCATAGCTTCCGCCACCGTTAAATTCGCGTGAAGTTGATTATCCTGCATGATGTAGCATGAGAGTTTCTTGAAAACGCTGAGGTTTCGTTCATGGCCGTTCATTGTGATGCTGCCTTCCAAACCGGACGTTCTGGTTGAAAAAACAAGAAACCATGTTTGGTGAGATAAAACGTGCTAAAATAAAAAAAACGCCTTTTTAATGTGTTCGATCGTCGCGTGTTCGAACGTGCACCAACAGAAGACGAATGTTTGCTACATGTGTGTGCTTTTAAACTTTTATTACTCGCGTCAAAACGCAAGAAACTTTTGTAACTTTTGTGTAAATGCAAGAACGAGTTATCTGAAAATGTCAATTATATTCCGTCAACACTCTCGATGCAAACTTATTAATAATTCATTGCTTTTTTGTTCTTCGATATTCGGTGTCGTGTAATTTTTTCTCTTCAAACAAGACGTTCTTGGACGGACGCAACTTTCCGTGTTATCAAATTCTGCGCAAATACCGCGACAAAACTGGTTTGTGAAAAACAAAACGCAACAAAACGAGAAGCGAGCGCGTAGGAAACATCGCGCGCGCTTGATCCCGCAGCTGCTTCAAACCCCGCGCGAAAACGTTTGATATTTTCAAGAAATCGAGGAATTGACTGACATCACAGACGTATTAATCGATAAATCTAACAAGTTTTGCCATTACAATATTTACGCGCGTTCGATCGATCCTCTCTTCTGTGTGAACGAAAGTTTTATGTACATATCTGTTGATTTTTCTTACGTGTCATTGTTGCGCACGTGACAGGCGCGGAAAATTTATATCCTCGATATTTTGTTTAACAATCTCTCAACGTAAATCACACGTAGAAAACACACACGAGTGTTGGAATGAAATTCTCTCCTTCTGGCGACCAGACGCTAGCTGAGAGGTTATTCCTGTATTTCGGAATACGTGCGCGATGTCTAACGGTCTTTTACTGCGGTTTGTGTTGTTTTTTTTACTTTATTCAAACGGAAAGTATTGCGTTACATTCAACTTGAGAAATCTAAGATTGGTTCGAGGCGAATCATCTTACAGTCTTTTAGAAGTGGATCAGAGCTATTAAAAGAAAAGAAGTTTTTAGGAATTAAGAAAATATGTTGAAGAAAGCGATTAAGGAGAATGATTTTGACTTATTCATTAAAAATTTTGACTTATTTATTTGCATACTTGACTCATTTCCGTGACATATTATTTCTAGAATCGTTTCACTGTGACAAAATTGCTTTTGATTAAGCGCGAAACCGGTTTGAGACCTGCATGTCCTGAAAGTACGTATATTTTTCAATAAAATCGTCAATTGTTCCTGCGTTTGCACGCCCTTGACGCCGCTTTGCGCGCTAGTTTAGAGGTAAAAGTATAGCAAGAGACACAAACAAGCTCGCGCGCACCGGTTTTTAGTCGGCGGCCTTCGGCATCTCCGCGCGAAAAACGCACTTGATACCGTGGTCAAGCCTCTTCGATTTGTATGCGCACAATAAGAAGACGTTTCGAGCGCGACGCGGAATACAAAGCAAAATATCTTTGATCAACAAGACACGAGACGAGTCAACAAATAAATCTGTCAAACTGTCAATGTTAATTATAAGACGAACAAATCGGGAAAATTCACTTCCGATTGATATGTAAATTAAAAAACAAAAAACAAGTGCGATATGTTACACCTTGTTAAAGAAAAAAATTTCTATTTTTTAGAGAGAGAGAAAAGAACAAAATTTTCTGCGTTTCAAAGGAAACTCAAACGCAGACTTGCTTTGTCAAGCGAAACGTTTCGTAGCAGGCGACCGACAGAGCGCATATGTGTGTGTTGAAGTAGAAAGTCAAAAATCCCGGAGCTCAATGTCACAACTCGTTCCGATTTGAAATCTACTCAGTGTTCTTAAATGCGTGTTTTGTAACTGAGTTTATACGCGGCTACGATAACGCGCGATCATTACGTACACGCGCGTATATTTCCGTTCGCCATTTTACGTTTCGCCCGCTCTCGGCGCTGAACGCTCGGCGCGACAGAGATATCTTTGTTCCGGAGCGGTTTCGTAACACACGAAGAAAGTGAGACCGTTGTATCTCGAAGAAAGTGAGACTGTATCCGGAAGAAAGTGAGATCGCGAAGAAAGCGAAGCGGACCAACTGCATTTGAAAAAAAAAAAAAAAACAAAAGTGAGATGTCGCACAATCTCATCGTCGTTGAAATGTTTTTCGCTCATTTCAATACGGTGTCTTTCCGCGTTGCACTTAAATTCTCGTCTGCTTGGACTTTAATCAGCGTGCGTGTCGTCGCAAAAGTCACAAGCAGACGGAGTGACAAGGCAAATAAATAAATTGTGAGAAGAAACCGGAAAGAAAATGTATGCGCGCGCATGTTGATTATCTCTTCTTCTCGCGGTCATTTTTTTTTTTTTTTTTTGACTTGTGTTACACGTTTCTCGTCATGCGCGAAAAGGTCGCGCAAAATATTTTATCGCGGAAAATGTAATTTACTCCGCCACTCGCGATCACATTTCGATTAATAATCTCCTCTCTCGACGTAAATCACATATAGAAGAGACAAGACACCAGTTCTGACGAAATATATATTCTCCTTTTACGGAGAGATGCTTAGCTAGACAGGCTAAGAAGATAATCCTGTTTTTCGAGATTCCGGTGAGATCTCTGCGAACTAATCGCGCGCGCGCGCGAAAAAGAAATCGCATCCAAGAATATCCTTCAAGAATATTTTTCATTTAGTTTTACAATATATATCCTTTGGTTCGTGTGTTGCGGAATTTGTGGGAAAAAAGCGACCATTACGAGAACAATGCCTTGTTCAATGAATAATAAATTTATAATTTTTTGTTACGACACACACGCACGGGGAAGATTGTACGCAATTGCACATTGCGTTTGCTGCTTTTTAAGGAAATACGTTACACGCGGATTTATGAGCATCCGCAACGAGCGGTTTTATTTTCCGGTGACTTCTCTTTCGAGAAGTTCACGATTTATATACGAGTATAGGAAAGTAACCAAGAACTTCGCGCTGAAAGTTCGAATGAGTTCACACTCGAAGCGGTGGGCGCACTTATCATCGGCATTGACGCGGCGAATGAAATATAAATGGACTTTTATCTGCTTTATTTAAAAACGAAAGAATTAACACTAATGTGTTTTTGCATCCGTTATTATATTTCATCTAGTAAAGACCTCGCACTGACAAAGTATTATTATTTTTCGCATTTTTTTATCGATTAGTGTAGAAAAACGAATGCAGCAAATGTCCTTCATCTCTGATTTATACGTTCTCGGCGTATAAAGTTCACAAGTTATTTTGTTTTTATTCACATAATCATGATAGATCATCATTTAAGACAATTTAATCGTATGTATTGCTTGTCTCGCAAGAACACACGTTCAAAAGTTAAACGTTTTACTATCGAACATGGCTCAAAAATGTCACACGGACAGACAACGCGAAAGTTTTTAAACCGCAAACGCGTGATATTATAAGAAACACAAATTTTCCTAAGTAAACAAATTAGTAAACATTATTTGGTCATTCTTTTAGATATTAAAAAACCAACTTTTAAAAACTCATCTAATCTCATCTAAGTAAATTATTATTCAATTATTATCTGATCATAAATTTGATGTCATTCGTAGCATTTTAGATTGACCAAACGACCTTCTCGTGTGACGTCAACAAACGAAAAGAGTTGCGCGGATTCTATTTTTGCACTTTTAATTTGCATACATTTATGTGCTCTTCTACATTGAATATCGCGCGTTTGCTTCTTTCGGAAACAACGCCGCTTTCGCATGCGTCAGCCGATAATTGCGAAACTGATAGCGGGCGTGAGAGTTTCGCGAGCGCGTTTCAACTCACTTATATCCGGTGAGGATGTTTAGGAGCGTCGATTTTCCTGCGCCAGAAGGGCCCATGATAGCCGTCAGCTCGCCGGATCGCAGTCTGCCACTCACGGATTTTAGTATCGTCTTTGTATCTGCAATTGCAATAATTCCATATTGAATGTGTGCGAGAAAAAATCATAATTTTCTTTTTCCGCCGCTATACACGCTTAGGTAATTTTCCCGTAAAATTGTTACATTTTATTTTCTGTCGTGCGTAAAAGGCGAGGAATGATATGAAAAAAAAAAAAAAAAAAAAAAAACTAAAGACCGGGACAAAATTAATTTTTTTTTTACTTTTTTGCTTATTTGATAAGGCAATTTGCTAACAAGCAAGCAACACGTTTTAAACATTACGTGCATTGCGAGCTATAAGTTTAATAATCTTTATACTCGTTTAATTGTGGTTTTTTCTTTATGAGTATTCATTATCCGCAGATTAATATTGCACTGATAACATCGAGATGACACAACCTCGTCATTGGTTTTTGTCATACCGATTGCTAGAAAAACATACACAGCTCGCGATATCGAACAAAGAAAAACAGGACAAAGTCCAGAACAAACACGCTGCATTCAGTGAGTCATATAGTAGGTAATCGCAAGAAGAAAGGATGATTTAATTAGATAAATGCTTCAGAATGTAAAACTAACATTAATTAGTTTGAATATTAATTAAAATTTTGGCCGTCAAATTATTCATGAAACGATTTTGAGAATTAAATTTAGGAATACGTAAATTTATACTTACATTTATATTTACATTCTTTTTCAATATATATGTGAATATATTATACGAAAAAAAGGAATATATTGTATACAAATTTCAGCAAACATTTTTTTTCTGAGAAATGCAAAACTTGATGGAAATTGCTTAATTGAAATCTTATTTGTTTCTTTTTTTTACATTCTACGAACTTGTGTTGTATAGTCGTCATTAACGTTCGAGAAACATCTTTAGAAAATATTAATTTTAATTGTTGCCGATAAAAGCAAACAAATTGAATTGCGACGACGGCGCGTAAATTACTTCTAGTAGTCAAAGTATATTCGAATTCATATTTGCAAGAAACGCACGCAAAAGTAATAAGATTGCAAATGAAGAAAAACAAATCGTATCTCAATATTTGAATCGATATTATTATGTGCGAGTCATAAAGCGACTCGATTCATCCGCTTGTTCTCCATTGGAGCCAAATGTCGTATAACTTGACCCTTCGGCTTTACTTACGTATACGTAACTTTGTGTTTCGATTTCACTGTGTGTCTTCATTTCAAAATCTCAATTCAAATCGGTTTAGCAACGCGCGCGCGCACTCTTATTATAAACCAGCTTACTTGATCAACAATTACGTTACTGTGTTGCGATATGTGGAATTGCACACAGCGTGGTTTTTATGAAAAGACAGGGTAAAAAAACGGACACTTCAGTGTGCGTTATCGAGGTTTAACAATCAGTGAGGCAAAAAAAGGAAGAGCTTGAGGGAATGCCGGTTCGTTTTTTAAGCCTCAATTAAGCTAATGATCGCAGTCGATAATAAGACGTGTCTTGTTTCATCATTTTATGAGCGGATTTAAAATCTCTCTTTATAGGACATTGAATCAAATTAAATCGCGGATGCAAGATCGGCGCGATTCTCGATGCGAAATATCAAAAATCGCGCGAGGTTTTATTTCATCGGTTCTTGACGGTTTTTTTTTTTTTTTTTTTTTTTCCGACGAAGTATCGCACGCCTGACCGAGACTCTGCGTACGAAAGTAACAGTGAGATAATCGTCCGAAGTCTGTATTACATTCACGTGTGTGCTGTGAATTTGCTACGAGACTATATCTATGGCGTTGTTGCGCGTTAAAGCGGCGATTTAACATTCCTTGACGAGAGAATAAAATACTACTAGCCCCACGCGTCGTAAGTGCGCGGCTCGACCACCCGCGGTTGGTCATCACGTGCGCAAATATTTGCGCATTACAATATGAAAAGATACACACACAAGTGAGATAACACAACAGAACGTGCGCTCGTATCATTATTTTTAACACAAGGCGAACGGGCGCCAATTCTTAAACACTTATCTGGATGAGTTTGTTCTTACAACTCGCAAATAAAAAAAAAACACACTCCGAACAATCAAGTTTCATCTGCACGTTACAAATTTACAGGTTTTAACATATTGTCGAAAATTCGCGCGGTAGAGAGAGAGAGAGAGAGAGAGAAAGAGGCAAATCAAGTTTGTTGTTAATTTCAAGTCTTTTTAGAAGAGACTGCGCGCGCCATATTACGTAAACTGCGGGGATTGCAAAAATCTCGCTATGACATACATCACTCACGGCATTTAAATTACTCCGGTTGCTAATGCTGAGGTGTGCACGTGTGCGCTTGCTCGCTTACTTGCTTGCTTGCGTGCGTGTAAATACATGTGTACAGTAAATAATGGAGCAAGAAAGAATCAGGTAAGCTAAGAAACCTCAAAACTTGCGCGACGCACGTCTGTCTATTATTGCCTTCAAGAGGTCACGTTAAAACACTTTCTTTCGTTTTGTTTTGCAATCGCTTAAAATACACCAATGTAACCAACCAGTGCTCTTCGTAGTATCGAGACGGGAATAATCTCGGCAAATGTCAGCCTAACGTTATTTGTGGTTACCGTCGCACTGCAATTTCAATCGTTTCACAACATCAAGGTTCTTGTGATAATCCGGAGAAATCCCCGACGAAAAACTGATCTGTTAAAGAACGCGTCGTTCGAAATGCAATTAAATGGAGAACCGAAGGTTCTTCCCTCCTCCCCGTTTCCTCAAATTTTGAAATAAATTTTTTGCCTTTGTTCGAAAAAAAAGTACGCACTCGAGAGCTTTCGCACAATTTGCTTAAATATTACAGGTGTTGGCGATAAACATTTTTAATTGTCTCTCGCGGAGATAATAATTACGAGTTGTGGTTTTTTGTTGTTGCCCACATGATTAAATAATGAGAAAGGAGAAAAAAAATTGTTGGTAGTTAATAGAGATAACGAGAAACATAGCGCGGTAATAAGACACAATTATCATAAGCTCCGCCTTCGTTGCATCGTCAAGTTATGCATTGCCCGACAATGTAGGTCATTATTCCAATTAGATAATGTATCTCGTTCTTCGAAAACCGATGAAAAACACACTATTTGCGGCCAACTTCTGTCGCGTGCAGAACAAAGTTCGGAAGTTTCAGCCGGTTTTCTTTTTTGTTTGTAATCTGATATCGATTTGTTATCGCGACAGTGCAACTTTATTTTTCCATGTACGATTTTAAAGAAACAATTTTGAAGAGGGATGATTGCCGTCACTTGTTCGATCGAGTATCTTGTTTACCGGAGGCAGGTTGCATTTTGCTCTCGATTGTTGCGATAAGATGCACAAAATGGATCGGTGATTAGAGAAGTCATCGACAGTTACGCGTGTGTGTGTGTATTTTTTCGAACAACAACTCGATAAAATAACAAGCTCGTTTCACTAATTAAATTGCGTGCGCAATGTCAATTATTCGGGAGATCGTCGTTAAAATATCACTCAAATTCTTATCGGAACAATAATAATTGATGTTTGCAACATACGCGTTTCCCGATGTTTTTCAGAGAAATAATACGGAATCTTTCTGCGACACGCATTACGCGTCGTTAAACGATGTATCTTGTTTGTTTTAAACGCTAGTTGCGAAAGCCGATCGATCAATCGCGTTCGAAACTGCCAATAAACAAACGTTCACCAATGATGTTGAAACAAAAAGAGACAAAAAAAAATGAAAGAAAAACGATTTTTCGTTGTGCGTTTAATTAGCGTTTAATTATCTTTTGATGAGATTAACGGAGATGTCTGCTAAGATTATTAGTAATCGCAATGTTTCATTGCTGGAACATTGTGATTACTAATTTTCATATCTTTTGAATCACATTGTGTTCGTTCACAAATAACGTCAGTGAATGATTTTTCTCAGTAGAGAAGTAAAACAATCAATTTGAATTAATTAATTTAACAGAGATAACTGTAAAACGAATATTTTGCTGTGTGATTTTTTTCGTATATCTTTGGGAAAATTCCGTTTAAAAGCTGAAATCAACTGGCCGCAATGTAAATTCTCTTGGACCGAAAATAGAAAGTGTATATTTCTCGCGGCGATTCCAATGATATGAAAATTTTTACTGCGACAAGAACGGAACGATTGTGTGAAGAAACAAGATTTTCGACAATGACGTTTTAAGGTAAAGGATCTCGTAATTATAAAAAGAAATCAATTAATCGCTCGCTAGATGAAGAAAAAAAGAGGCAAAGCAAACAAATGGGTGGCAAGTGACACAGCTTCTTGCGATCAGCTGAAAAATCATACACATTTACAGAATTCGAATCCTCGCTTACCACACGCTCATTAGATCACACGCATTAATTAATCGTTCAATAACTATTGCGTATTTTGCAAAATGGTACATGACTATTCGGTTTCAGATTAATCTAATCTATCTTTACACATTTTTGCTCTGTCAAAATTTTTCAGAAACCCTGTATATTAAACATGACACTAAAATATATTTATAAATTTATATAATTTTATATATAATGTTTTGCTGTAATTAAACAGATTGTTTTTATTAACTATATTTTATTAACAATATGTATCTGGTTTGCATTTAGTATTCAACATCAGAAAACATTAATTTTTGTCGGTTTTTATCAGAAAATACCGGTAAAAACCTGTTTTTATCACTGACATGGACTTTTTCCAAAAAACCCGGACTTTTGCCAACTCTGAATAGAGTTAAGCAACATTTCCACGTTTCTTCCCGAGCCCAACGTGTCTACATAATTAATCCTCATACATCTCGCGATATTATACCGTAATCGACCTTGCAAAATTGCGGTCGTGTCTGGTGGAAGGCAATTTGTCAAGTTTAAAACTTCTTTGCGAGAGCACATCTGGCACAAAAATGCGACGGGAGAAAAAAAACTCTACTTCACGTTTTCTTACGTAATCGCAAAATTATGACTCTCGATGTGTGACATCTATTCGCGCGCGGAGAAAAAAAATAAGACGGATGTGTCATTCTATAAATAATCGAAACGTACGCGTCACTGTCTATGGGTCACATGTGTGACGCGCGAATATTTGACACGAGTTCGAAGTGACGTGTGTAAGGCAAAAGGAAGAGTTGTCGCGAACGATGACAATGGAAAATGGACACGTGTGCGTACGTGCGCTAGATTGAAATTTTTTTTTTTCTGTCGCTATTATTAAACTCCGATCGATCTCTGATGCCGCGCTCCCGATACGCCAAATACAATAGGCGATTACATTTTATTATTCCGCGCGCGCAGAAATTACCGATTCGCGCGCGTTACAGAATTTTTCTAAACGTTTTTTTTTCGAACGTGAGCGACACGTTTGCCAAACACGAATTTGTTTCGTGGCACGCGACGCTTAAACGCTTTTTGCATTTGTACGAGTGTGCGTGTGCACTACTCGTTCTGCGTCTCGCAGCATCTCAGAGGGGAAGAGAGAAAAAAAGAGGGAGAAATATATTTTTCTTCGAGGCGGCATACGGCGAACGTACCACTTTCTCTAATGTCTCCGATGGTCAATGTTACGACAAACCAGTTTCCGACTATTTTAAAACGGGCGCGACGACAATCAATTAAATATTGTTTTTTTTTGCCAGAACGAGGACAAGAGTAAGAGTCAAAGAAAGCGAGAGAGAGAAAGAGAGAGAGAGAGATGTTATTCGAAATGATGTTTTATAAATAACTTAAATCAGCATATAGATGTACATTTTCTCGTAGAAAATTTATCGTAGAAGTTATTATCCAGCATGCAAATTCGAAGATACGCAATAAACACGCTCGTAAATCCGAGTCTGTCATCAACTTTTGAGTTATTATTACATCGGTGTATTTTTATCAATCTCGAACATTTGACGATGTGCCGCTGTTATTTTTCGATCAAAACCAATGTTTTTGACGGACAATATAGAGCACATGCAATTAAATGGAAGTATCGGATAAAACGCGCATTTTTTTATTGCAAACTCTGGACGCGATTATGATAATTGGATAGCAAGAAGATCAAGGAGAACAAGATGAAACAGCGTTGCCATGCTGCAGCCGATGATGATGATGATGATGATAATGATGATGCTCAACGACTAGGCGAAGAGAAAACGCGATTCAAGGGCAAAACGCTCGCGCATCGTACGATTTGCGACACAGTTGTTTTACGATTTCTTTTTTGCGCGATGTTACATCAATTACATCACATATTGTATATCATAACATGTCAATGTAACTCCGCTAATAAACGGAGAATAATGTTATTACGTCAGATCCGATTATTAGGTTCTTTTTGTTTTTTTTTGGTTGTCGTAAAAGCAACTTGAAGTGATTTCGACTGGCTGGATCAAAGCTTAATTAAAAAAAGTCTGCAAATATGAAATGTCTCAAGATTCAACAGACATGAGAGATTTTGAATTTTATTTTTATTTTACGAAAATTGACGATTTTTATTTACATTTTTAATTTTTCCGTCTTTAACAGTATAACTTTTTGATAACAACACACGTTATCTTATCAGATCCTCCTCCTCTTATTTATCCTCTTGTTTCCTATTTATTTTACAATAGTTTATTATTTTTGATTAATTAAACTAAGCGGATTGATGACGTGGTGATGAGTAAAAAGATATGTATACTCACTTTTGCGTTCTTGGACTTTGTAAGTGAGGTCGGTGAACGCCAAGTCGACCGGCGGCCTCTTCGGCAGGTGCGTGATCGTTTTTTTCGGCTGCGCCGGCACGATCTGCAGTCGCACCGCCGAGTTTTTTCTGGGTTGCAACAAAATTCCATTGGTGTCGTCGTCCGTTGAACAGTTCCCCTCAAGCTTCATCTCTCAAACCGGGTAGATATTTTACGTGTGTAGCTTTTCGCAAATTTTTGACAATTCGGCCTTTCACGCGAGTGTCTACTCCGTGTCGTTGTCACCATTCGCGGAAGTAACACACGAGAAATTTGTGCCTCGCGCGTCTTATTCCTCAACGCCTGCAATACTATTTTGAGCTTGCATATAATGTGTCATTTTGGTTTTTTTGTTTCATTGCTGTGACAATTCTCACGGCGGTTTTTTGAAAGATATTTGCATGTTACATCGAAAACGCAAAGTGTCATATTGATTGCAAGAAGCTTGAGATTTTGAAATTAATTTAACAGGATATTTCTAGTTGAAACAAAGTACCGGGAAAAAATGTTTGCTAGAAGAAGATTATTATACGGCTAGCGAAAAAAACTTGCCAAGCCTGTTAATTTTGTTGCTTCGTCAACGAAACATCTCGCTGGTGAAACCGAAAACTTCAGTAGGTTCGACCAAGTTTTTCTTTGCTAGTTGTCCATAATTATTTCAATGAGTAGTTTTTTAGAAATAGAGAAGAAACATATGAAACATAAAATTGTTATATAACAATATTAATTACTCATCAAAAGCTGGTTTTTGGGTTTGGATTGCGTCAAATTTTATTAATTTTATAAACGACGTTGTTTTTGGCAACATTTCAGTTTGCCCCATCAGGATTCCAAAGATCAGACGAGATTCGTCAGATCTCGAACGGACTATAACGCAGTTTAAATTTGAACATCGTTTACGAGAATTCTTTCAACACACGCCGCAAAATGATCATATTAATTGTAACTTTTGCGCTTGTGTAAGATATAAAGCAGTCGATGACGTGTGTTCAAGCAGCATGACGATGTGTTCTACGTCAATCAATTGTGTATTCGTTAGACATTTATTCGACGAAATTCAAATTACTGGAAAAGTGTATAGTGTATCGTGCGAAACGACACGATTGTACGTTTAATGGCATTTATATGGCAAATATTGAGAACTGAGCGGGACGAGAAAAAATTGTTTGTTGGAAATATTTACATTTGATACAAAATAGGAAACAAGGATCGCAAAAACAGCCATTTTGCTTTAGTAATTAATACTTTTGTGACATAAAAGCAAAGTCCTTGCTAAAACGTGACTTTTAATCGAATGATTAAGCGTTTTAACAAGCAGGTAATAATTTTATACGTGTTCAAGGCTCTTTTTTTTCGCGCGCGTGCATATGCGAGTATATGCAAAATATATGTTTCTTATCGGCTCGAAATAAATTAAAAAAACGAATTACAATGTTGATCTCCTTACATCTTTCGGCGCACGTGTGCGATAGTTTTCCTCACCGCCGTCAAAGAGACACTTCTTCGTGCACCACTGCGTGTATCAGACTCGGAACGCAACGAGACGCATCTTTGTTTCCAAGGCTGAGGGAAAAAAAATTCAAAAAAACCGCACAACCAACACGGACAGTCCGCGCGACTGCACTTGTTGCCACGTACTAACGCGGGAGCGCGTTCGGGATTTTTAGATGCACCGGATTGCAAAGAGCAAACGCGATAAAACAAAGGCTCTTTCGTGTGTGGCGGGGAAACACAACCGCGTGCGGTGGGGAAACCAACAATAGCCGCCGGCTTGTGTGTCTCACCTTCCGCTGTAATTCCCGCGACTGCTCGAGACCGACTGAGGTATCAGAGTTGTCAGAGAGTGTGCGTCGTGCCCGTCAACATTGACCGCTGCCACAACCAGTCGCTTTTTCATCATATTTTCCCCTTCTCGCGTCTTACGCGTGTCTTTCTTTTTCTATTTGTTTTCTCGCACGCCGCGATCAAGATGGAAGTTTGCGCGGCAACCAGGTGAATCGGAGTCACTCACTAGAAATCGCGGTGGAGATATTCGCTAGTCGCAGTGATCTGCATGCGTGTGATATATGATCGCTTTATACTCTGACATACTTGACTTGGATCGTCGACTTTGCTTTTTCGAGTTTGATCTTAAGCGAATGAACTTTATAACAACCAGAACATTTGTCAAAATAATATTTCAAACTGCAGAAATATATTCTGAGTAATTTTTTTTTTTTTTTTTTTTTTTTTTTTAACGAGAAAAACTAAGCGTAGAGTATTAAAAATCTTAGCTTTTTTGTTAATTAATTTTGTTTAAATATTAAAGAAAAATAATAAACCGCGCTTTTTTTATTTTTTCATCTGTTTCAAATTGACGGATGTCGCAAAACTACGTATACACGCATTCAATTCTGGTGTTAGAGAGAAATTTCAAGCGCGATTACCAATGAACGAAAATATGCGCGCGCAATTTTTGATTGTTGACGACACTTTTACTGTCAGCCGGTCATCTGGTCATATCTCGTACGCGCATTGCTTCCGGAATGACGCGATATCTCGTTGTTCGCGTCTATCGAAGAAGATTAACCGACAATCGCCGAATGATAGATATCGATTTGTGACAGTGTTAAAAGAATTACGGTAAGTCGTTTTTCTCGAACTTTGAACAAAGCATATCGGTGTTTTAATTTTAATGATAAAAAAACTAAAGATCACGCGTGTTATCGTGTACATCTAGTGTTTTTTTCGCGAAGAAAATCGCTGTCGTATCGTAAAAGTTGACACTTTGACCTGATAATCGATTTCTTTGCTAATACGCGTATTTTTTTTCCACGCACGTTCGCATGAATAAAAGAGCACAACTTCAGTAATTTTATTTGCAAATCGTAATTAAATCGAGAGTATACCAAGTACGCCGTCGCATTGTTTCTCAACTCTTTTTACGAATGCGTGTGTTAGTATTTTTTTCTTTATATATGTTAAACGCTCGTTTGTAGTCAAAAGAAATATATCATAGTCAACAACGAAGAGACAAAAAAAGAAATAAATATCCTTGACGTAAGT